CATCACTTGTGGTTTGACTGCTTTTCATGGCTTCAAAACTGGAAGTCCTTATAATGCGATCCAATAGGATCTCATCAGTAGTGGTGTCTCCGCACCGGTCGTACAGTCGGTGCACGTATTTGGTGCCTAAGAATGAGGCGATTCTCACAATACTGTCCCTCGGATTCGCTACCATCTCTTCATAGGTAATGAGAGTACAGTTCCCATCCAACCGGTGCTCCCAATACGAGAGGGTGGCCTCAAAGTAGTCGCCGCATTGATAGCCTCCAGACATATACCACCGGAAATACCTCTCAAAAGTGATGTCTAAATTTTTTAGTTTTTTGTAGTAATAATAATGAGAAACGCAAACGTCTTTAGGGTTTCGCAAAACCACTAAATATTTAGCGGTCGAGTGAAATGTTAATTTTTTGAACCACATGTGCGACTGTATAATCTTCACCTCCCTGTCCACGTGCCCCTCGTTCTCCCTGTCCACCGATTCAGGGCCTTTCAGTTCCAATGTGTAATTTGCATAGTCCGGGGTGCTTTTCGGTATGCTGCCAGCGTTTACGACTGACAACAAAATGTACAGGGTCCACCATGTGCCACATTTGGGGTACGTCAGCAATAGGCGATCTGCCGGTCCGGGCTGGTAGTCCATCACGTACTCAATGAATGCTGTGTTGAACGCCTTTGGGAATAGCCGTCCCCTCACTGTCTGCACCAAATTGTCTACATTTCTACTCATATTCATATAGTTTATGTAATTCAATATATCCAAACTATTATCAAATCTACCAGTTGAGTTTTATTTAAATAATAATGTCACTGCATTTACTGTATATACAATTAAACAGATACTGAATGACATAATAATATTTCATTTATATGTTAAGATTAAAATACATCTTGGTGACGGGGGTTGCAGTAATGTACAGTATTAATATGTTACTGTGCGAGTTATGACACAACAATATTGTTCATAAAAGTTTATAAAAAATAAATAGCATTACAAAACACTATTGAATAATTGTTTTAGATATACATAATCGCAAAATACATAATTGTAGTTATTTATTATTTAATTAATACTTAGCTGTATTTAATTCATTTCTGCATAAATAATAGAAAGTTGAATGAAATAGAAATGTTTATGTAGGTTAAATACAATTTTGAAAAATAAATTTTATTACAATTTAGCACCATTTATTTATTCAAAAACATATTTGTGCGGACGTTTGTTGAGTATGACTAACTCACTGTCATTAGTATAATCTTTATAACGATTATCCAATTGATTTTTATCTGTCGTATACATTGGTTTTCTAAGCCTATCCAATAAATTAATGACCGGAAAGTCAATCAACATATAGAGCACGTATGACACGATTACCGCGAGTGTCATGTCCACAAAATAGTTTTGTAACTAGATTATTAAAATAAAATATCATTTTAAATATAGCACTCAATTACCATGTTAAAATCATATAAAATGTAAACATTTTGTAATATTCATACCTGATTTGTGTGATTAATAGCTATGTTTTCTTTGCGGCTAAACATACGATATAAAAACNTAAAATATCATTTTAAATATAGCACTCAATTACCATGTTAAAATCATATAAAATGTAAACATTTTGTAATATTCATACCTGATTTGTGTGATTAATAGCTATGTTTTCTTTGCGGCTAAACATACGATATAAAAACACCGAAAAACTATTCAAATAAATGCCAAAATTAAGTCGACTTATGGCGGCAAATGTTCTTGATGACAATATTTTATTGACAATTCCTGTTTCATCAAGTATCATATGGTTTAGTTATACAATGTATACATTCTCAAATGTATATACTCAACTACCTTTTTGATTAAAATAGACAACAATTACGATCCATATGTTCCCCACTGACCACAACACTTTCCCGCAACTATACCACACCATGAGATTCAGTTCATCGGGCTTTTCGTCAATGTTTTTGAAGTTTTCACTCCAAACCACACTTAATATACTTATCGAGAAACACGCGATTGTAAGCATATATTTGACAAATCCATTTGCGACCAAACATTTAATAGGCGCTGATTTTTTGCGCAATACATAGCCAATGATGAGTCCGATTATAAACACAGATATGATTTGATCGGGAAATACCATAATTCTCATTAAGGATTGTTTCATATGCATTATATCAGTCGTCTGTGACGCCTCGTATGGCATAATTATATAACCGGAATACCATTTGGCAAATGTAGTCAACGGTACTGACACCAATAAAGCCAACAAACTGAATGTCAGCCCAAATGTAGGCCACCATCTCATCCCAGCCATAAATAGTGGACAAATCACTTGCAATTGAAATACAGAACTCAGTATAAAACTTAAGGAAACGCACTGTTGGACAGTAAACATCATGTTAAAGTAATTGTATCATGGATATATTTATGAAAATCTGATTTAGGTATTATGCACATTTGCAAATACTAACCACACGCCTAAGACTCGTTTCAAAATTGTTGATAAATAGGAAACTTTTCCAGTAAAGGTGCGGGCAACAATTGTTATCACCAGCCGCGTAACGATATGGTCCATAGCCCACCATTACCAGTATTGTGATAAATATGCAAGGTCCTAATATTTTAGGCACAAATCTAATCCATTTTTCGCACACAAATCGCATATACGATAATATATTGTTTGACCGCTTTTTTGACCCAAAGTAATCGTATGATATGATTAAACCACTATAAATTTAAATATATAAATAGCATACTGTATTGTATATATTATTAGACATGATGTCTACAATAATCATGAATAAGAGAATATTCTAGCTATCACTATTAATATAAATCATAAAATTTTGTTGCCTCATAATTCATCGGTGCTAAATAATTATCATATTTGTAATAACTATAGTGTATAAGCTAGCAACATTGTCAACGTACGTTAGTAGGCCGATCATATCGCGGGGAAACAATGTCCTCAACCAGAAATACTCGCTTTCCGTTAAGGTGTTCAGTGCGAAACTATTGACAAAGTTTTTATAGCCCACCAAACCACCACCTACCATGATTATATAATTATACGCTATGGACAACCATGCTAAATAAAATAGTAGTAGGGCCTCGGCTATCAGTAATCGATCGTTCAATGGTGTGAATAGTTTTTTATGCCCTTCTTGTAGTGAAAATGATTTCATAATTGTGTCCATTATTTGCGCAAAAGGCGATCGTTTTATATGTGTTTTTCTCGATGTTTTCGTAGTTTTTGTTGCATTAGATTTGATAGACGTATAGATTGTGCCGATTATAACAAAACTAATCATGAGTGCTGAGATGGTGCTGTCAAATTAAATCTACTGTATTTTGTATATAAATACGTGTAAATAGTTTTTAAAATAAAATCATTTACATGATAATTATATTAAATGCATTCATATCGTATGGATCGGTTATGACATCACATTTAGGGCCCACTTCTATCGGTATTCGTATGATTGGATTCATAACTAGAAAATAATGTTTCATTTAATCCATAAAAAATTTATAAGGAAATGCAAAAAATATTATTTGAAATAAATTTTTTTGTATTATGCCAACACATTTTATCATTATAATTTGACATAAATGTGTTATTCAATTGAATCATTGAATTTAAATTATATTAATTGCTAAATAATATATGAAGGTTATGGCATATAATACCTGTTTGTAAAATGTTTTGTACGTCTTGTGGCTGACATTGAGATGGTATGCAAATGCCGTAATGA